GGTCCGCATCGTCTACATATTTTAGCATCTACTCTAGTACCATTATGGTGAAGTTAACCACGATCAGATCAGATGAAAGGATCGAAGCACTACCTATCATCCCATCACAGTTTATTAATTATTCATGGTGGAAAAACCACAAACGACTTTCCGAATACTGGCTCGATAGTATTTTTGGATTTATTGTGCAACTTTCGTCGATGACTATCTAGCACAATGGGCCCTCTCTGACCCAGGCTACACCTTGGACAATTCTCCAAATTTCTCTTGTTAAGAAAAAAAGTCACAAATGCAGTGTCCGTGACTGGTAGCCATTTATCCCAAAATTTACTTGTAGAGTTAAACCACATATCCTGCGGATCGTTCTACCCAATGATTAGTAGCAGTTTTTATTAATTACTTAACGTTGTGCCAGCGCATAAAATTATATTGTAGGGCCAAGTGCCGGTTGGCTCAGTCTGTAAAGACTACCCGACGTGCTAGCGCCCCAAAAGAGCCCTGCAAATTTAGAGTGAGGCCCAGCCACAGCTCGGCACCTCAGAAATCTATAAGAATTTTGTAGGCTTGATTGTTTCTGCCAACCTTCTAGGGGATACCCTCGCAGTCTTGAGTCTTTCATTTTAACCACTTCCAAGGTTTTCACGGCCCAGCATGTCTCCCATTTTCTCTAACAGGCTTTGATTTTGTCGTAAAACATTCATACTCAGTAACCTAAGTTTGGGGTACTCCGAAAATTTCCAGCCAACAACAGTGTTGGAAGATAGGGTTGCGAGTTGTGTTGTGGCTTTTTTTAGGTATTAAATAGGGACTTCAAAAATAGTTTGGTGTATAGAGAGGGAGTGCAAAAACTAACTTAAGCTGATATCTGCTTGAATGCTCTCGATAATCTTTGACGTGATCCATGTAGTCGAGGAATTTCTTCAATCCGGGAGTTCCAACTAAAACCAGCCAGTAATTACTCCTTCTCACGAGACTCAGTCTGATAAAAATTAGTTTGACCGTTGGAAGATGGCTGAATCTTGACTCTGGGGGAATATTTCACTCGCAGGTCCGTAAAGGACACCACTGACGGCTATTCGGTCTTCGTCCTCCTATTAATAGTTGTTGAATAACCTCACAAGGGCCCAAAGCAGTTTGGCAATGCAAATACGAAGCGAGCATATGGGGCTTAACTCGTATTTACACAGAAGAAACGTACCCGGAGTATTAAGTCCAGGTTGTCCATGCGGCTACCAATCACAGAACCCAAAGCACATGATTATGTCCTGCCCCCAATGGTCAAATGGTAGAGCTGAGATCTGGAGACAAGCCAAAGATCGATCCTATGAAGCGATGTTAAATAATCCTGGAGATATAAAAAGGATAACACAGTGGATCCTAAACCATGGTTGGATAGAGCAATTCCAGATGACAAAAGCGGTCGAAATACTGCTGAGGGAAAGGAAAAGGTCAAATAATGCTGGGGGGGGATAGAGATGATCTGGTTAGTTTACATGGATGGCACTATAGTGTAACTGCGCTTCCTGAAGAAAATATGTGAGGACTATAGACAACAAATAGAAAGGTGTGGGAGGTTTTCACCATAAAGGTTTCCTCCCGGGTAAATATTATAGACTGTAGACACCTGCATGGGCCCATAGGGCGCCAAATCAGGATAATGAAATCAAATTCAAATAGTTGTTGAAATAAAGAAGTTCAGGTCAAGTCTACTTTGTCACTTGAACCCAGGGTCGATCCTCTAAGCGAGGATCGTACAATCAAGATATAGAATTGTAATTTTAATGCTTAATTTTTAATATATCTTTCTAGTTATCTATCGAGTGAGTGAGTATATTTATTCTCCTGTCTGAGTCTATGACTATTTAGGACATGCAGGTCCTCTCTGCCTCCAGTCCAAGGATACCTATACTAATAGTACATCCCCACCTTTGCCTCCCATACAGCTCCCCTCAAACAGTACCGCCCCTCACAAGTCCTCATTCAACCATACACTTAGAGGAGCCCTATGCCCTTCATTACTTCCCCTCTCCAGCCAGCGAAACGATGGCTGTTTGCGGGTGTATGGCAGCCGGGAAAAATTGCAAAACCCACTGAGTGCAGGACTCCTCTAATACTGACACTAGAACTGGATCCGAAGACAATGTGACTCTTCTGAAGCGTTCGTAGAGGCCGGCCAGCTAGGCGCTGCAGACTTGTATGTACCTCGGGAAATTTACCCTCTGCCTTTCTAGCCTCCTTCCAACTGTTTCCCGAAGGTCGTGGTGAAATGTAAGAAAAGTCTTGATAGAGCGTGATTGCTCTATGACAGCTTAGATCAACTTCTTTTGTTCCGTCTAGGGCTCTGGAGAGTTCTGTTGACTCATCGACATAAGAAGCCCTCCTGGCTAATTAGCCGAAATCTCGGTCTTGGCGCCCATAAAAGATTCCTAAGTTGAAAACCACTCGAAAATGTCACTGTATGGATAGTCTTCAGAAATATTTTCCCCCTCTCACTACACATCTAGGCCGCCTGTTCTCCCTCAAGTTATTCTTCCCATTAGAGAAACAGTCCCCATAAGCCAGAACCCAGGCTTTGTATTTTTCGACTTCATTTACTCCTTGCGGGTATAAATATCGTCGTAAATATGTAGTGAGAGATGGCTGGAAATTAATGGGGCAACCTCCTGTTTGCAATTGGAGCAACTCCTTCATCGTTCGTTCAGGCGAGATGATATGTGGTTAGAAAGAGGTTGAGGACTCAGAAAATAATGGTGAGTGCTGCATAATTGAGAAGTCATCAAATGGAGATATGCTGGTGTTTGCTTTCGACTTCGATTCTGATGCGATTCTTCTTGGCTATCCCAGATATGCAGAGCAAGCTGAGCGATTACACCGGCTCCACTGAAAGGTGAAGAATTCGTCTTTGCCGGCTATTTTAATCTATCGATGACGGTTCATCTAAATCGCAGAAGTAAATGTGTTGTCAAGTGGAGACCACATGATTAGCTCAGCATGGAAGCGCTAGCCAGGATCCACATTATAGCTGAGAATCCTTTATAGTGGTAATTGAACAAGATAAAACACTTTGAAGTCCTAGAACATCACAGAATCGTATCACTATTTGCTGAATTATTACGATTGATCGTGAAATCACCCCATATTTATTCCAACAATCTTCTTATCCTCTTTAAGAGATTAAAACTAAGTAGGACAACCCGTGCGTCTGATGATATAAATGATTGTATGAGAAAAGCTGAGTATAGATTTACTATCTCGGTGTCGAAAACATTCCCGACGTATGGTTTTCCATGAAGGAGTAGAACTTATTCTCAACAAAGATAGCCATATCGTTGAAAAGAACTAGCTGATGCAAAATAAGGAAATTAAAAGCGCCTGCAAGTTTGACGTAAAACCCCGATGAGAGTGAGCTTATCAAATAGCTACTTTAGATAACCCAAGTCTTCTTTGTTTTTACTTCTTCCGCCTACTCTTGGACTGGAAGAAACTCTAGTGTTGCCGTTTGAGGGATTGGCTTTAAGTTTCACTGAGCACAGAAAATCTCAAGTTGTCATGGTTTATTTTAAAGCGATTAATCTTGAATCTTCTGTGTCTTTGATGAGGCTCAAGCTCAAGCAAATTAGAAGATATTTCTGTTATAATTACGAGGTTAGATGGATAAGTATGGTGGTGGTACATTATACAAGTAGAAAAGTATGTGGATTGAATGTTCTGGTGGTGGGCCTTATGTATTTAGACTATCTGAGGATAAATGGATATCTAAAGATGAACGCATGACCTCCGTAGGTAGTAAATGCACCTGGTTATGTACGTGTCCAATTTGCTCACAGCCATGCCCATCGTGTGTCCGATGTACTCACATAATGCGTATCAATATTATTAGATCCTTAAGCTCCTGCTACTTAGCATGACTCAAACTCGAGCCATGCATTAATCTGAGCTTGCAACAACATGGTCATGTAATGTAATCACTGAGTCTTGTTTATAAAGCCCTTGCTTCCTTGCGTAGACTAGGATTTTAATAATTTCTAATTGCTGGGTGAATTAATACTCTCCGCGAATCATATTCGCTTTTATCTGCACAAAAATTTTGCTTAGACAACCAAATTTGTAATGCAAAACGTACTTGAAAACTTTCGCTCACTTGGATGGCGTAGATATCAATTTTATGGGAGTGTCCATTAACGGGATCGAGAGGTGGTAGCAAATGGATAATTTAACAATCTCCTAGTACTTGAAATTCTCATCTTCGGACATTATATTTCAGTATCAAGTGTTGCAGGCGAGATAATCTATACGTTTATCTCATAGACAAGATTTCTTGGCAAAGTTCCTAGCTCCAGCACGGCCAAATGGCTGGCACTCTGGACGACAATGAATTTTCTGTATTAAACTGCATCGTAGAGTTTGAACAATAGACCCGAGATAACCTGTATCACCAGCCGACTTATTATTTCTACTCATCTATTAGTAATATATTTTTACTAATATTATTCTCAGTTATTTCGCAAAAAATTAACGCGGCATTTTCTTCCTTCGATTAGTTAGCATCAATTAAGATAGAACTTATATGACCTCAATTCATACGCCCCTTTTCCTTCGACGCTGGGATCTGGCAAGGTTGGATTTTTATAAGATTTTCGGTTTTTATGGCTTATGCCCGGTCACAAAATCTTCTTGAGCCACATTACTTAAGTCCCCCGTTGATCAAATAAATTTCATGGAAAGATAACGAGAAAATTTTTATTTAAACTCAGAATTCAACTTTCTAACACCAATGTCCTATCGCGCCCCACCATTTACTACCTAACTCCCCAGGATAAGTGAGCCTCAACATAATCCAGCGCTAATTTCATCATTTCGACAATGAATGACAAAGAATGTTCTATTTTACTTTGTAAAATTTAAACCTAAACAAGCTATACCACTCCATATACAGTGGCAAAAAGATTCATTAATCTTGTTCAATGGGTAATAAGGTTGTGAGTGATTATGCGACTCATCTATCTTGGCCATCGAGTCAAGGCTTGATGCCCAGTATTTATGTAAGAAGCTTCTGTATTCTCAGCGTTATGGCGTTGGAGTGATCGCGCAATAGACGCCGATGTATGGTCTAATTGATTACTACTGTCTATGACTGGACCCAATGATATGGGTGGAAAAGTTCGAGTAGTATTCTGGATTGAGTTCTGGTCTAGAAATTGAGAGTCGGTTTCTACATGTTCGTGTTGAAGCGCAGAGTTGGTGTTCAAATCGGATAGTAGTGAGTTGGAGACGTCATCTAGGCTACGTCGCATCTCATTTCTCACCTCATTGAGGCGTTCTAGCTGACTGATTCTCGTCGCCTCAACTACACTAGATCCTGAATTCCCAAAAGAAGGCCCGATTTCGGGAGAAGTTGAACGTGTTGTTCCAGATATATTGGGCCGCCAATTTTGAGATGGTATCTGGGAATTTGATCCACTTACTTCTCCCCAACTAAAAGTAAACACCGGCTCTTCCGGAGTAGATACATTTGTATTGTTAATATGAAATACTCCTGTACCTTGACTATTTGTTTGAAAGTATGGAGGAAGCTGCCCATTAAATGTAATTGCTCTTCCGGAGCCATTAGAGTTCGTTCGGCCTATCGAATGTAAAATTCTATTGCTGCCTGTTCTACCTCGGACTAAACGCCTTCTTTCTAGGGAGTCAGCTATAGATGAACGAAAATTAGGATGATTTCCCCACGATGGTTCTCCACTAGTTGTCTGCTCGTATTCTAACGTGGTTCGTGATCCTGCCATATTTGAAGATCTTTAATTGTTAGGTTAAGATGCTACGTAGTATATAGGACAACAGTGGCTCAACTAACCTTGCTACTGCTAATCTTTCTATAGAGTGATTTCTTGACGACATAACACTTTCAATCCTGACTCTTCGGTTCAGAGAATTCATTCTTTCTCGAGCCGTTCGAAATGCCTCAAGCCCAAGGGTCTTTGTCATAGATAATTCAGAGGGTAGTTTACTTCGACAGTAAGGGCAACTATCAGAGTTTTCAAACCATTTTCGAATGCATTTGTCGCCAAATAAATGTTTGCACACAGGTAAGCGAAGAGGGGTCTCACTCTGGCCTTCAGGATTCTCAATGCCGAATTCATTGTAACATATTATACATGCTGAGATTATTAGCATAAATTGAGCTAATATAGGTAGTTTTGTTGATATATTAGGGGTATTTGATTTTAAGAAATTGCCATGGTCGACTTACTACGATCAGTTGCCTTAAGGTTATCTAGGTTGACAATTTCAAGTGAAGCTATTGTCTCTTTGGATGGAACCCTTTTACAAGCTGCTAATGCTCCTCTCATCACTGCTAGTGATCTTTCATCTCCCAAGCCACCCGGACCTAAAAATAGAGCATTTTGCCGTCTTGGAAGTGTAACGTACACGTTTCTGTGGGGATTATCATCATCTCCTGATACATCAAGCTGATCTCTATTCCGACGTCGAAGTGAAGAGGTCTCCAGGTTCATGTTCGTCTGTGTATTATTTGGATAACTTGTGTTCCTCTCCTGTCTTACTTGGTCTGGAACAAAAATATTCGTTAAGAATAGAAAATATTCGCCGGAGCAGGCTAACTTACTTGTATTTCTGGAATCTGGCAACAGGTCAACTGAGTACTGTATGTCCAGATTCTCTTGCGTGTGCACCTCTTCATGTACATGCAACGTAGGTGGAGATAGAATTTCGGGGCCTGCTGTGTGTGGGTTAGCTAGACTAGTAGATGATAGTGATGAGCTAGTGAATTGTGTTGGGCTATCGAGGACTGGCGTAGATTCGTTTACATGGTTTTCTCTAGCATTGTTTGTTTGGTTGTGGTATGGATTGGTGCTTATTCCACGGAATTCCTGTCCCCAAGGTGTCTCAAGGGGAGCTCTAGTAATCTGATGAGCATAACTTGGATCCTGCGAGTGATAGTTTGGACGCAGTTCTTCTTGATATAATTGATACGATGAATTTTGAATTGGAATTGGAATTGGAATTGATGATTGTGGTTGTCCGAATGATATACTTGACTGTGACGTGTATAGGTTTCGGTTCGGCGCATTCAGAGTACCTTGAAACCACTCTCTAGATTCATGAACGGGATCATATTGCATGCCGTCTCGCACTGAGGATCCCGAAGTCTGCTGACAGTGGTACTGGTAATTCACACTCTGTCTCTCACTAGTTTGGTCATTGTTCATACTATATTCTACTCTGTTCATGTTTTTCCTTCCTATTTAATTTTGAGGAAGTTTGATGTAGGCATAAAACGGGTAGCCCTATCTTCTCTGTCGTTATCTCGGAATAAAGTAAAACCTGAGAAGCTTAGCTGCAGATGATTGCCTTGCCGGTATCTTATTTAGCTCCACTGCCTATGTAAGCTTCGGTGCGGAAGAAAATGGGGTCGAATTTCAATTTAATCATCGAAACAAATTGAGAGACTCGAAATAACGTAGATGGATGAGTGTCAGATGAAGCGACGATGTTATTCTAGTAGCAGTGAGGGAGAATCTAGTAGCCTAGCCTCGGGTCATCCTAGCTCTATTCTTTGTTCTTGATTGATCATACGGATGAAAAGTCTTAAGCTGTGGATAATTAAGAGATCGAGAAAGATGAGCTTGGGGGTGGAGGTTGTATTGAAAAAGCAGTGCGGAGGGGTGATCAGACGAGAGGAGATGGGGTAGTTGTGTAAGCAGAGAGAGACTGCGAGAAGGAAAGGATAAGCAGGGGAAGGATTAAAGGAGGATACAGTCAACTGAATCAATTGACCTGATCTTGTTTTGCATATGAAGGCTTTGAGGTACTGGCACAAATAATTTTCATTTTTTCCACGATTTCATTATCCCTTCCTTTCTGCCTACATGTATATTTTTGTTGAACCTTACTCTCAGAACTCCGCTCGCAATCACATCTTATCTAGCTATTATCTAAAACATCCTCCCCTCCTCAACTGCAGAAATAACTGCAGTATTTTTAAAGCATTGTAAATCCTGCGATGCTCTACAACACCCTGGTAATCTTTGGAGGACGGCTTAAATTATTTTGTCTGTTAATTCTGTTTACATTGTGCTTCACACAACTCACAAATTCTCTTTGGGGTTTTTTTTCTCAACATGTCACGCTTGCGGAATAACAGTATGCTAAGTTTCCGTTTAAGAGCTCATATTAGACACCATCCTAGATCGCTTTTTCCAAAAGCAATTGATGAAAGTTTGTTAGTTCCCGAACTTCGCATGCATCGCTAATTCTTCCTCTGTGTGTATGACCTGTAGTCGTAATTCGAATGGTGTTGAAATAAAAATTAACGATACATATGAATGGTCACTATATTTTTTGGAAAACCACTCACTACTCAATTATCTAAAATCTTTTGACTAATTTCTTTACGTTTAATCAAACGTATGTAGTTTCATCCTTGGAATTAGGCTGTGATTGGGATATAAAAGCCCTAATCTCTCAACAATTAGTTTAAATAACTCGTGCTGAGCCTCCGTTTGGATTGATACGACGATTAGAACTCGCTTTAGGTAATTGTTGTTGTCTTATATCTGGTGGTAAAATCGCACCAAAGTAAAATCTAAACCCGAACTCACATATTTCGTGTGTGGATAACTGGGCAGTGGCGAAGTTTTGATCTGCTTGATGTATTTCTCGGCGCCCTCCATCTGGCGGAAAGCGGGCGGCGCAGGTTTGCTAGACTCAGATTGCCTTGAGTCATACTAATCGGTCGGTTATTTTACAGACTATGCATTTTGACGCTGATGGGGCGAAATAATCTACCCATAACAGGTTTACAACTTTTCTCATCGGCCACAAGTGTGCTTGCGCATGTCTAAGACACAAATAATCGATATTAGTGGTCATATGTGAGAACAATATACCCTTCATCAACAGACAGATGTGAATGTGATAAGTCAGAGTTAGGTCAAAGCACATGATTTCCTGCGAACCACTTAAATAATGTAGCGTCATTCATCTATACGGAAACCTTACGCCAGGATGGCTTGAAAGTATGGTTAATCATGTTTACCATGAACTGAATCAATTGCAATTAAATACGCAGTTCACATGATTTGATGGTAGTTAATTGGATTTCATGGAGGACCGACGACATAGTGAAGCTGACTTGTGTTTGAAGTACTTAGCATCTATACACACAGCAAAGCGTGCAGCACTTGTGCAAGCAAGCACGTGGTATTTGATTATTTTGGTGCGCAATATCACGTGGTAGATATTTGCATGAACCGTATAGTCTTTCGCTGGCCTACATGGCTGAGATGGAAATTTTCCTTATGCCTAAAGATGTCTGCTGCGTGAATGACCGATATTTTTGAATCGAAGCAACTAAAAGAAGGTTACCAAATATTTAGGTGGCCTTAACACCGGATTGATGACTTTATCTGACAACTCACAATTTTCAATTATTTTGAAAGATTATCTGCGTCCTCCCTCATCTATTGACTCTAATTTATCGCGCCAGCGTGATGAAACGAATCAATTGCTACTAATTATTTTTTTTGTCATACCTTTTCATGATGCGAATGACTTGATTAATGTTGATGATGCGGCGGTACATCATCTGGGCTAGTCTTCCAAGTAGATTATGGATAGCTTGGACACATATCCCACTCGAGATAGGAGATCGGTTGTTCGAAACCGGTAAAACACAACCACGTTTCTCGTGGTGCCGGCCGGCAAAGACAAATTCTTTACCTTCCAGTGGTGCCGGTGTAATCGCTCAGTATGTTCTGCATATCTGGGATAGCCAAGAAGAATTACATCCAAATCGAAGTCGAAAGCACTCACAAGTACATCTAAAATCGATGACTTCTCGTCAATATCGGACCTATCATTCTCACGCCAGTACTCTACCTCAATCTTACTACACTACCTCGCCTCGAATGCCGATTATGGCGTTAGTCCAATTGCAATCGGGCATTTGCCTCATCAAAAACCGGCCATCTCTCACTACACATTTACGATGCTATGTATACCCGCGAGGAGGAATTCAAGTCATAATCTACAAAACTCGGGTCTTGATCTATGGGGGATCGTTGCTCTAATGGGGCTTCAAATAGTGAGGGAGGATAGGCAGCTGAGACTTGGGACGAACGAGTGAAGAGGTCACAAATGGGCATGCTGGGACGCATATTTTTCTAATGTCTTCGACTTAAGATTGTCTGTCGGTGCAACCGACACTCTAAAAATAGGCAACGATGGAAGGCGTTTTGGTCCGCCTCCTGGTCGTTATTTCCCCGAATTAAGGTTTGGGTAGCCTGGACACCTACCTCACTCGAGAAAGGGAGGAATGTGAGGCCATATCTCGCGCGGCGGCTTTATACAAGATGGCAGAGGCACGTTAGGGTAGCTAAAGTTTATTCCTGTTTTCCCTTTGGTGGATATTAACGGTTGAGGGAGGGGTGAAAGTCCCTAGCACCAAGGTCTCGAGTGGTATCAGCGAATGCACCCACTACATGAGTTATCCAAATGACAAACTGAGTTATCGTTGTATATAGTCTTCGGAGAATGAGTAGCCTTCTCCGTGTCATGCTCTTTGAGAGCAGGGCTTGTGCCCGTCACGAATAAATGTTCATTCATTCATTCTCGTGGTGTCGGTATGCTTGGATGATTAAAAGGTTTGAAACGTCCCTTTGGTGGGTACTCTAGGAGGGATGTTGACTGTTTGTGTAAACAAAAATACCTCATAATATTAAGGAAATAATGACCCCTCAGTAATTGAGGTTGTGGAGTGCATTGATTCAAGTAACTACCGAAGTGAAACTAAGTACATAATTTGCAGTCACGTGTATATCAGCGACGTTGCCCACTTGATAGCCCCAATTATTCTAAATTCCAACACATAATGTTATTTGCATGTTACGGTTTACCCGTTGTTCAAGCTTAGGTGAATACCTAAGCGCATTGTTGAGGACTCTGAGGATAAGACTGTTGGGATCGAAGCAATGTCATAGCACAGTGAATATGGGCAATGCGTAGCCGTGCGGTAATTATTCGACCTGAGGAAAAGGTATAAGCAACGAGACTCATAGAGTGGACAAAATGTTATAAGTACCTTGTAGCTGTAGTTAGATTTCTCTTCTTCATAGAGTTTATTAAATCGATTTTTTCATTACCAACTCGGTTTCTATCACATTGCAGATGAAATGTAGAGTATGAGTGTCTCCAACGTCAAACGAGTCATCCAACATGTATGTAAAGTACCAATCATGCATCATATCTAGATACGTGAAAACACATTAAATTATTTAAAAAAAACTTGTTTAATATCATCAGCGTAGAAGGACGAACCCATAATAATTTTTAGGCTTGACACGAGATGATAACCTCTTAGAGTCCGTTGCAACATGTATGACCGGCGAAAATGTTAGAGGTGTTAAAAGCAAATAAAAATACAAAGATCTCTGCGATGATGCCTTGAGCCTCAAGCCCATTCTCCATATAGGAGCCCGACGTGCTATATAGTCTAGAACTTAAGTTGTACAATAAACACAATTCTCTCTCTCTCCTTCATCCCCCATTCTCCATATACAATTGCATCTCGACTAGGAAATATATTGAAGGAAGATATGGTTGGAAAACTGTACTGCTGGTTATTGCCTAAAGCTTATATCGTATATTAATGTACTAACTACAGAGTTCTACATTTAAGATACATTCTGTAGACCCTAGTTTAGCCCAGCTTACAAATCAAGTCACATGTGATCTAAGGCTCAATGACTGATACTTCAGCAAAATAGACCCAATGTCAATAACTCACATCCTGTTCACTATTAGGCAGACTTTAACAATTGTTGTGAAGCGAGTAATTAATTTATTGTTATCTTAACTTGCTGGGCATAAGTCCCACATCGCTGGTAAATCGAAATCTTTATCTTCCAGTGGTGCCGGTGTAATGGCTCAGTATATTCGATATATCTGGCATAGCTAAGAAGAATATCATGCGAATCTAAGTCGACGGCCAGCATAAGCACATCTGTAATCGACGAATTTCATCAATATTGGTCTATTCATTCTCGGGTTTCCTCTAACTCAATCCTACCACACACCATCTCGCTTCAATGGTTGATCTAGTTGTTATTGCAAGTTTAAACGGTAGCTTTTCTCATAAATTATCGACCGTTACCCGCTATCAAATTTGTTGCGCTACGCACGCTTGCCAGGACGAAATTAAGAATTGACTTAACAAGCTCGGGTTTTAGCT